CTGGGTCTGATCCCTTGTCCATCCTGTAGGTGCTGTGTCATGGCACTTAGGATGATCTGCTCCATGACTGCCAGACAGAGGTCAGGCTGACAGACCTGCAGTTTCCTGGGTCTGCCTTGCAACCCTTTTTGTGGATTGGCGATACGTATTTTTAGACAGCAAAACAGTTAATAGCTTCAGTAAAGTGGATCCCAGGTAGCTTCATGTCAGTTTCTCTGTTTAGCTGGAATATGGCATACCTGCTCTACCTCACATAGATAATCTTTGTGCATGCTACAGTTTTGCTTTTTTTGGTCATCAGATGCCTACCAGAAGAAAGAAGCTTGCAATCTTCCCTATCATCACCTCTCTTATTCTATCCTCATTCTGCCCCAACCCTGATATTTTCAAAAGCTCTGCCCAGGAGTAATTTAGAGAGTTTAAAACCTGGAGTTTTTATGGCTGTTTGACTTACCCAGACTTGTCACACTTTGCATTGACACAGTAGGCACCTTTGCTAGAACTGTTTTTTTTAATTGCTGTCCTTTAACCCATGTTTTATTTATGAGAAATAACTGCAGCAAACATTCTGTGGGTGACTGAGACCTGCCTTCTCTGTTGTGCTCTGCAGCAGAGCCAGCTGGTGGGCAGCAGCAGCAGCAGAAGGGTGGCTTCAGAACAGATCTGTGACAGTTAACTTTACTCGTGTTCCGAAAGACAGATTTCAGTCTCTGTGGTGACTTTTTGTCAAAACACTTTAAATGTTTTATCTTCCACTGTAATGATTTAGCAAACATATTTTTATACACAAATGTTGGGGTTTTTTTCTTTACACTTAAAAGTGTTAAAATAAGGCACAATCCAGGGTTTCAAGTGCACAATATGAACAATATCAATCATTTATTGTACTGATAGGCAGATTCAGTGTTCCTTCACTTAATGTACACAATTGTATTTCACATTGCATAGAGAAAAGAGACAAGCAGGTGAGAAGTTAAATCACTGTGCATGAAGTGGGAGTAAAGCAGTGAGAATGAGCTAGCTTAACCTTATTTTTATTTTTTGTGTGTGGTTTTTTTCCAGCAAGACCCTATTGTCCAGCATCACCTACTCCTTAACTTTCCAAGGCTCAGACTGGAGAGAGCCCAAGGCCATTAGTCAATTCCTGAAGTGATATTTAGTTGCCTGAGTTCACCTGAGGGATTGAAGGATTCGTTTCAGTGTGAGTTCATTGCAGTCTTGAAGGATCTGAGCCTCATTGAGGCACATTTCAAATAAAATCCATTTGCTTCCATTTGTTAAATAAGACACAGAGATGCATCTGAGGAGTTGTAGATAGCTAATCTGCTAACCTGGAATTGCTTCTGAAATAGTTGTACATGGAGGCAGCGTAGGTTTATTGGCTTTAAGAGACAGCCCAATTTCCTTCGTTCTCCAGTACATACTGGGAGCAATGGCCTAGACATTAATGAAGTTGTCTGGCATAAAATTGGTGTAAAATAAAAAGGGAGCCAGGCCAAAAAAAATAAAGAGGCAAGAAGACAGGGCTGTTTCATAGCGTAGTTCCCATTTAAAAAATACATCTCCAACATAATAAAAAGCAGAGCCCACCATGTAAACTAAATTACTAAATTGTTATAAAATCAGTACTTTTTTTTTCTTCATTTAGTGTCAAATTTTTATACTACTATTATAGACTAGTAATTCAGTGTAAGATCCAAGGAGGCACATTTTTTTAAAATAGTCCATTTGTCCTTTACATGGTACAGAAGTAAGAATCTGGGACATACACAAACTAGACACCAACAATCTTAGGATATTAAATTTAATTATAGATTACACAGAATATGATGTAAAAACAGCAATTTACTAGAATAATTATAACCTGCAAAATGTGAAAATAGTTTAGAAAATGGATTGTCATATTCTCTGACACAGCAATAGTCATGAAAGGTACACTTATAATATCGTGTTAATCTGTGTATTAACTATACTACCTGTCATTTAGCCAGGATTCCAAGACAGATTAAAGGCATTTATTTCTGAAGTGCCTATATTTAATTTCAGTAAAACATCTAGATTGAAAACACTATATTTTTATCAACTACTACATGGAGATCTATTCCAGATAAATGCTTTGTCTATATGCTATGAATTCATAATGAGAAGAGTAATTGTAAAACTGCAGAGAGCACAGACCTGTAAGTGTGTGGTTTGACAACTGAAAATATTTCTTAGTACCTTGTGAAATTTTGGAAAATGGACATGACACTCTCTCCTATATCAGCTCTAGATCATACTTAATCTGAACTCCTGTTTTGTATTTTAAAAACCCCACATTTAGTTGTGATGGGAAAGATATCTGTAGATCTTTTTGTTATGTTGTTCAACAAGAAATGTTGCAAGTGTCAAAGGATATGATGACCACAGCAATGTCAGCAGGTTTAATTTTTCTCCAGCCGTGTTTATGAAAGCAAAAAGTCCAACTAAAACCAAACCCAACCCTGACATATTTTAGTTTCTTTTTGAATATACGGACTGACCCAAACATAGACATTCTCTTTGTCAATCTTATTGTTACAAAAACTGTACATTACAAACAGTATAGAAACAAACTGAAAGGAATGTGCCACACATCCTGGCTAATTTTCTATATGCAGTTTAAAAATACAGCCTACTCCCTTATAGTGCACAGTTATTCTGTAGAGTACATCACTAGTTAAGTGGACATGATAGAAGAGCTCTAGTTTTCCTCAGCACAGAGAATAAGAGCCAATTCTGCTCGGTAAAGCTTTCCTCCATCAGACAAGGCCATGATGCTTTTCTTGTATGTCGCAAGGTTGTTAATGTCTAATTCCTATTTAAAGAACAGATAATGCTTTATAATCCTGTTTAGTTATCAGCATGAACATGTTTGTTTCCAATGGCAGGAAATGAGAAAAAATAAGGGTATGCTCAGCCTGTCCAACAGTAACACATTGCAAATGTCATTTATGTATTCATGTGTTATCCATATTATAGCCATATGTTAGCTTGCAGATAGCTGATGTCTCAGAAGCAAGCAAGCTTTACAGTGTCACTGTAATCACAACTCCCCTAGTACAGGATTTACACTGCTATGACTTCTGACACAATTTTCAGTTGTACTTTGACTTCAGGAATTATGCCTTAGAAGCTCTATATTTATCTTATTAGGGTGGATTAAAGTGTCCTTAAAATCCAAATTAAATCTAATCTCTAAGGGGAAAAAAAGCCCTCTAGGATTACCTTTTTGTTCTTTTCACAAAGATCCTTCAGTAGGGCATCAAGTTCATTTTCATCTATATAGCCATTGCCATCCTGAAAAATACCATTACATTTTAAAATTACTTTTCATTTCAGAGGTCATTGCTAGTTCTCCACAGATTCAGAAAATAAGTGCCATCAAAATGTACAATTAATAAAAAGATTTTTTTGAAGACTTACTTGATCATACATCTCAAAGGCTTTATTGAATTCTTTTGCACACATTTTGACACCCTAAATACCAAAAGGAAAACAAATCCATTAATGACACCAGTTATGTGTGATGGTGACATGTTACCTGAAGAATGTGAATATTCATACCTGAAATTTAATAAGAAAATTTTCCTGTACAGGGAGTAGTCTTTGGAGAGAAAAAACAAAGGTCAAAATATTTAACTGTTTCCATTGCAGCATTTGGTACATGATATTTGTTGTTAAAAGAAACAGAAGACATACCTGGCCAGTTCAGTAAGCTCCAACTTTCCATCATTGTTTGCATCAAACATCCTGAGCTGAAAGAATATGTAATTTTACATTACTAATCAAAATTAATCAACATAATGAAGAAAACACTCATTTGGAAAACGTAAATTCAATTAACTTTATCCTGAAATGATGGCCCCAGGTTTTCATCTGTCACATTTGCGGTGTAATACATTTATTTCAAGTACCAACTAAGTAATTTATAATAATTAATTCTACTGCAAAAGCTTGATAAGAAACCAGATGAACATTTCTAATTAACCTGCTGTAAGGTAGGTCTTAACCTACCCACAGGATGAATGTCCTATATGAGGAACACACATGTTATTATTTGTGAATGAGAGGGGTGGTGATGTGATAACATTTTACTTTTGACTTCACATCACGATTCAGTAATAGAATCATTATTCTCTATTCATAAAGATGAAAAAAACATCAGGTGAAGTTCAATAGAATCCAAGGCATTCAATTCCCTAGACAGAAAATAATAGACATTTCACTCAATTGACTGCTGTGTCTAAATATTTAAGTAATGTTCTGTAACTGTAAAATATTTTTTGTAAAGGAGTGAACAGATGCTACAGATGATCATATTTTGTTGATGGCATGAAAATGGGAAGATAAATCTCTCCAAATAATCATAATTAATTATATTACAAGAATAAATACATTAATGTAATTTGACAAGATTAGTAAATACTATTTCAAATCATTTTAAGAACTATTGTATTATGTTTTCCTTTGAGGCCTTGAGAGGATGAGCTCCTGCTGCTTGAGAGGCACAAGCAGCTTGTGTTGGTTATTAGTAGATGGAGAAATTGCTCCTGCATGGGACTTCCTCTCCTAGCATTTATGTCTGAATAGTTTTCAAACATTATATTTCAAACTGTCAAACATTATATTGCATTTGCTGTACAAAACAGTCACAAAAGCAGCAGAGTACAAAACATTGTACTGAAAGCACCAGCACCCACACTCCATCCAATCATTTGTAATCACAGTAATTTTAGATGTAATTTACAGATAAGAGGAAAAGTGACATCCTGTACTGACATATATACATAAGTGTAAATCCTTTTAAAGAGTGAATTAATGCAATGCAGTGAAAAAGATGTAATTTCACTTGGTTAATACACAATAAATGGCAAAGGATACTAGAAAAAGTGACCAATTCTGCAAACATTTCTTCCTACTTCACACCCTGTTTCCTTCTAACATTTCCTTCCTTTGCATAAAAGCATCTGCCTTGCATGCATTTCCCATGAAAGCAGATTTGCATTTGGGGGACGTAAGCAGTTGCAGCTGTGAAGTCAATATATTTTGTGTTTTGATGGGTTGTTAGTGGATGGCTGTACCTGCCTGTAGCTGCTCAGGACTGTATGTTTTCTATTAGTCCTCTATTTTCTGAGGAGATTATGGGAGAGCTGATCTTTTATCTTTTTCTTAAAATTAAATTCTATGTGTCTCTCTGCAGAGGTCAGAACTTAGAGCACACTTTACGATGAAGGTCGAAAAGGTCCCTGAATGAAAAGGATAAATGTTATCTTTACCAGTGAATAAACAGTGACAATTCTAAGTAAATGGTTTATACTGATACAATGATCCAGCAGACTTTTTTTTCAGGAGAAACACAAGTTTTGTTCAGCCATTCTCAGGCCAGTTTGAGGGCTAGTATGTTTACCTACCACATTTTTGATTGCTAAAAATATTTTATGATGAAACCAAGCTGGTATACCAAAAAACGTAGTGTTATACATTTCCAGAAGACCAGAATTCTGTATTTTTTTCTTTCTTGTTTTCTTGAAAAGCCCTGCATAAGCCAGTAGAGTTCCTTACCATGGAGTACCATAAGGGTGGGATGGAAGGAGTGTTCCAAGGACGGGCTGGTGTAAGGCCATGGAAGCAACAGTTTTGTTTTAGTGTTCATCTAAAATATCCTTCTTGAAGGGGAGAAGGAAAGTGTGAGGTGTTTATAAGTTTGGTAAGAAACCACCATGCAGTAATGGCTTTTAAGACAAGAGACAGACATCACAGCACTGTTAAGAAGGCAAAACATAGAAAGTAACCCCAAAGTGATTTGATCCAAACATAATAATGTAAGTATGACAGGAACAGTTTTTCTCCTATGAACTGTGAAGACTTCAGTTTTACAACTAAAGGCACAAGGAAACAAAACAGGGGAAAGTACTGTGGTATGATATCATATGATACTATATAAGTACCAAGAAGCTTAAAAATTCCTGAGCTTTTGATTTTTAAGCAGCACTGAAAACTGTCCGTCAAAGCCCAGTAGCTGCAGAAGTACTTGCAGTGGTAGACACCACAGTTGTCTCTCTGTTGCAATGACATAGTCTGATTGGGTCCTGGTAACTAAAAATAAATAGAGTTTGTATTAACCCATTGTGCCTGTAAATAATCTTACCATTATTTCTGTGTATTCTGTTAGCTTTGAGTCTTCAATCTGCTTATTTGCTTTCTGTAATAAATCTTTCAAGAAGCTCTGTTAAAATAAATAGAAAAAGAATAGGTGAATTTTTATCTACAGTATAAAATGTTTGACTTGCTAATTTCAGATTAATGGGAAATATTATTTTACTTCCACTTTACTATTTACTGCTGAAGTTCCAAATAAGTAGTAAAAAAAAAAAAAGTACTTAATAACAGCTAAGATTAGAACTTACTGTAGTTTTTTGGATAAATTCAAGTATATTGCATTTTATGTGGAAAAAGTGACTCATAAAACTTTCTGCATTGTATGCCATTCATTGTATTGTGAATTTGGAAAAAAGTTTGGCTTTCAGGAGTACTGCTTCCTATCAGCTCTATCAGTAAACTACACTAATTAACCTTGGATCTCCTTGAAAACTTGGATGCCTAATCATTTCTTACAACATAGGAACAATTTTACAGAAAGGATCAATGATTAATCAAGTTTTGTCCTTGCCTATGGCAGTACCCAATGCTAGAAGTGAACATTGCTCCTTCCTACCTTGTATTTTAAATGTGTGCAGCAAATGTCATTACATTTTGAATGAGAATTTGATGTCACACGACTTGAAACACCACCCATTTTTACTTTAAAAAATAAGATGTTTTAAATTCCTGTGCTAGACCTGTGACATTAAAAATGAAAGATACCGAATTGTTTGGGAAGGACATTCCAAGACCTGACGTATCTGTATGCCTGTCAATGCTCAGTGAAGCACTTCCTGTCATCAGTTGGAATGTCATTATCTTTGTGGAACTTTGGGCCACATTTCAAGATAGAAAATGGGGAAACTTATAACAAAACATCCTTGTATTCCTGAACTTGAATGCAACCATGTCCATAGTTATATGACTAATGTCCCCTATAGTGCTTTTAGTCTGGTCCCCTCCATGCTGGAGGCCCTTCCTGGGAGCTTGTATACAATGATCATGACTGAAATATTGTAAATGGACATTATGGAGACATATTTAATCTTGTATACTTTGATGGAATATAGAACTGCAAAGGACATTGAAAGTCTATCCATCTCCACATATCAAGAAAGGTTCATCTCTATCTAAACTTCTCTGATCTGAGCTATTGCCAAACCTTTCCTAACTGCAGGCAGTGATTGAGAGTCTGCCTCCCCCTTAGACAACATTCTACTGCCATTACTATTGTTAGAAAGTTTTCCTGATTTCCAGTTTAGAGTTCACTTACAAAAGTTGTGTGTGTACTCCTCACATAGCAAGTACTTAAAATGTTTTAGCTTGTTAAGAAAAGCTGATCTAAAAATAAAACTGCACATTTATGCCGTATTTTCAATATGCTAAAATGACCTGTTTCTTTGAGGCAGACAAAGCAATTCAGTTAAAATATCTTCATTCTTCAGCTGGTCCTCAATCAGCCCTGCCTTTTTAAGTCTATTTTAAAATACAGCAGTCTGCAGCAGTCCTTAAGGCATCGTCTAACAACTGGAGAGTTCTCAAGTGCCACCTCCTCCTGATCCTACCAGCTTTAGATAAACTGACCTGCTGCAACCAGTTAGTGGAAGAATGGACACATCTGCCTGAGGGTTACCTTAAGGTAGGATCTTTGGTGAACATCACAAATACCAAACTCAAAAGAGGAAGGGAATTTTCTGATGTGGATTCCTTTGCTAAACAGAAAAGCTGTAAAGATTTTGGACAGTTTGATCTCCTGGTGCTTTAGTTAATAAATCTTACATAACTCTTGTTTATATCACATGTGAGCAAAATAGTCCAAATGAGATGGATAAACACTGGGTCTTTCTCTTGCTATGAATTGTTTTGATTCCTTTGGATGTAAAGCAGTAATGAATCAAGTGCAATTGAGCTGTGGAAATTAGCCCCATTCTACTCAGATGCTGTTGTATATGAGCATCACTCCTATGAAGAAAGGCTGGGAGAACTGGGACTCTTCAGCCTGGAGAAGAGGAATTTCAGTGGGACATCATCAAAGTGTATAAATACTTCAAGGGAGGGTGCAAAGAGGATGGAGCCAGGCTAGTGATAATACCAGAGGCAATGGTCACAAAGTGAAACACAAGAGGTTTCCTCTGAGCATCAGGAAACACATTTTCACTGTGAGGGTAGCCAAGCACTGGCACAGGTTGCCCAGAGAAGTTGCAGAGTCTTGAGTCTTGAAGACATTCAAAAGCTGTGTGGACAAGGTCCTGAGCAATTGGCTCTGTTTGGCCCTGCTTGAACTGGGGGGTTCACCCAGATGACCTCCAGAGGTGCCTAACAACCACTCTGTGATTCCATGACACTAATTCGGCATCTATTAATTGCTGTTGGCTCTATGAATAGGGAAGTAAATCACTCTAGTTTTAAGGTTTCTTAACTCTATCAGGCTGATATGGCTAATGAAATAATCTTGATTCTGCTCTTTTTTGTGCATATTAAAGCTGATACCACAATCCGACTAGGTTAGCCAAGCAGGGGTAGCACAATTCTATTCATCTCAGTCTAACAGTAGTACAGTGGAAACTGTAGGGTTATGTGGTACTTGAGAGAGCATGATCTGTCCAGGAGCATAGCTCTCCTAATATACCAAAAAAATAACCAACATAGATTTCAAAGGCCCGTCTTGCTTTCTTAATGTTTCTTACTTCTAAAGTACCTGCTACCCTGAGTCACTTGAGACAAACTCTGATCTGAATTAAAGCATGTTTCAAAAAACATTGATCAGATTAGGGTTTCACTTTAAATAATTAATGGCGACAAAAACATCAGCTAATTATATTGCCTTTTTATCGTGTCTGAATTGCAGAAACATACATGAGTGGTTATCTGAAGAAGGAGATAGCAGTACAGTCTGTAATCCAGCACCCGTTCTCATGTCCTGCATACTCATAGATACTGGTTTACCTTAAGTTCCTCGGAATCAATGAATCCGCTGTGGTCGCTGTCATATTTCCTCCATGTCTGTAATCAGAACGTGAATGCTTTAATGATACATTTATGGCAAGCAGGTCTTGGATGGTTTTACAACAGGCAACGTTTCATACTGTACCTGCATGAAGTCTTCACTTGACTTTAGCTGCTGGCATCTGAAGAACAACAGGAAATTCTCTTCCGTTGGCAATATCTGAGCAAGCTATAACAGAATTTAAGAAAGATTAAATTTTGATTCTTTGTTAGGCCATCTCAGCCTGTAATAGAGCACAGAGCTTTTTAAAAGACTATGAAATTCTTTGTGCTCATAGTGCCCTATAGTGGCCCCATAGGAAGCTTCATCCTGTTAGCTGAAATATTTGGAAGATGCCTCTGAAAGGCTTCTGGCCTGCAGCTTTGCCATATTCATCAGGGTCAAACAGAACTGACGTCCGAGGGAAGGGAGTGAGACAGCATTTTACTGAAAGGGTAGCTGGGGAAAGAGGGGAAAAAATTCACCATGCAGAATCAGGATCTGTAGTGAAAACTCTGGAATTAGCATGAATTGAAAGCATAACACAAGGATGCACAGAGGATAAGTATGAAGGACATTGACTTAAGAAAGTGAGGAAAATAGACTACTCACAGATACCAAGGAAGAGGAAGAAGAGAGGGATACTGACATGAAGAGCACTTGTAAATAAATGGTTAAATAAAAGGAAAAGCCAGGAACAAAATAAAGAAAACAAGGAGGGTAAGGGATGGCAAACAGTGCTCATTTCTCAGACACAGAGATGTGTTCAAGAAGAGCTATAAATACTGGGAAGAAATCAGAAGGGCCTTTAACCCTGAAAAAACAGGGATGGTTCTCCAATGTCACTGCTCTACAAAAGGCTTTTTTAAAATCAGACATTATTGTACTGATTATTTAAAATGTTCATTTACTATAACTCAATTTTGGCAAGTGACAAATGTAGATGATGGAGAGTATGCTGTATAATTTAATGTAAAATCATGATTTGTTTTTAACAAAAGCCCAATATTATTTTCTGTCCTCAAAATGTATGAAATGTGTTTTGATTAAAGAAAACTTTTTACTTGAAGAATAGACCAGCTGTGCTTACTAGGAAGATAAAATGGAGAAATACAGATTTCTTAGCTGCATTCTTTTATGAAAAATGACATCTGCAAATTTCCTGGAGTCCCATCTTAAAATTTTAATTCAAATTTTTGTTTTTCTGCATTCATTTCACACCCTCAAATCCCTTGTTCTGCCTATTTCAGTAGTATTGCCTAATCGCTAAGGCTTTTTCATTGGGATCAAGCAGAGCCATAAGTGAGTTCAGCTCTCACCCCACAGGCACAACAAGGTTATGGAGACATCATAGCTCTTGTTTCTCTAAAATTATCTATGCAAGGAATCAGTTATATTCTTTATGCGTTGGTACAACTGAAAAGGCACATCAGAGCACTCTTCGTACAGAAATGGCACAGCTGATGACAGGCTGTCAGGCCCATCAGAGCCTTCTGAGTGCTTGTATTAAATGGCTGAACACCAAACCAAAAGCAACTTAAACAATGTATTTTTGTCAGCAGCTTTCAAAACCTGTTCCTTTGTAAATAGCATATACTCATGTGGGTAAGTATATGTTTATACATGCGTACTAGCTAAATGTGTGTAACTTAGTCCTGATTTATGGAAGAAATGTCTTTATTCCTCCCATGACAGATGAGTTTTGATTTTTAGAGCACGTTCCTATTTAACAGCAAATGTTAAATAGAAGAACTGTTTAGAATAAAAAGCAGAGTTTGGGGGAAGGGACTGATCTTGACGATGGAAAAGGGTTTATATGTGTGGAAATTATAAGATGTCATTCAACGACATCGCTAACTCCTGCGAATTTTGCAAGGGCACTGTAAAATAGTACAAGGTGCAAGGGTAAATGTAAAATAGTAACTGTCCAAAGAATCATTAACAGCTTATTAGTAGTACCAAACTGTATTTGAGGTACAGAATATATTACGTCCTGAAGAAAATTACCTTATTTTAAGCTATACCTCTCGCCCTTTGTAAGTCTCAGGGGAAAGCATGAAATTGCTTTTTGTGGAAAACTCTGCAGTATTAAGGATGAGGAGATCATGTGGAAATTGGTTCCACTTCCCAGTCCCAGTTTTATACCACAACCAAGAAGAAAGATGGAAATCTGATGCTATTTCAAGTGATGACTTCTTTGTGAGGATAAGCATAGGGGAAGTTCATGAGCATGTTCAAATGAGTGCAGACCACTGTGAGTCCACATGTGGCAGCTGTAGTGGTTTAGTGAGTGTTCCTGTGAGCTTTGCTGCTTTTATGGAGAATGTTGGTTATTTCTGTATTGTCAATAATAAAGGGAAACCAAAAATTCCTGAGATTGGTTTGACTCTGCTCAGCCACTGGCTGAGGTATATCTTTATAGGTTATCTAGCAGAAAAAATACTCTCAATACCTAAAACAATATCAGAATTATTTTCTAGAAATCATTCTCTAAGTAAGTTCCATTGATATTTAATGCTATTTAAAATTCCTTTCACCTAATACAGTGAATTTGATTTTTAAAATCATATAATATATTATGGAATTTCAAAGAGTATTTTAGGCTAATAAGTAGTTATTTTTATGTCAGCAGTAAGATTCAAATAATTTGAAAGTGGAATTACTACAGTTTCAAGTTTTTGAAACCTTGGGTTTCACAGCCACATTTTAGTGCAAGCATTGGTCTGAATGAGTACAAAAGGTGACTTAAAGGTCTCTTACACAATGACCAGCAAGTGGACAGGTCAGACTCTGCCTTTAGCTGGAGGGCACTGGATAGAAGCCAGTGAACTAACTGCAGTGTGCTTGCAAAGACAGAATCGACACTTAATCTGAGCTGAAAATCCTCTGCTTCCTCTATGAAGCCATCCAGGCCTCCTCTTTATCTCAGTGAACAGACCTTTCCTGAAAACTCATTATTCACTAGCACATTTTCCACCAGATGCCAGGGTATTCATTATAGTGGCTGGAAGTCTGAATGGCTTTACATAATGTTTTTAAACAGCATTCATACACTTTTTTAGAAAAACTATTTGATGCACTATGTAAATGGGAACAATCGGGAATTAGTGGACTTTTTACTCTTGTAAGGAAGGAGAATCAAGTCCAAACACTAACTTTAATATCATACTGCTCTGCACGTACAACACATTTCATGAGTCCCATCAGAGCTTTCCAAATCAAGCTTCATGCTGATGTAAGTGAAATAAAATATAGCTCTTGGGTTTGGAAACTGCTATATTAAGGGAGAAAGTCCCTTCAGTCGCTGAACTCAGTACTATCACTATTCAGCGGCTTCTGCAGATGCTGAGCATGCTTGGCACTTCACTGGGGGAGGTGAGTCATATTAGGCCCTATTGGGTTTGCTCATCTTTACCCATGAAGTCAATATCAGAATCAGAAATAGAATTTGAAGGTAAAATTTCCAGTTATCTTTCCTAGGTGAAGAAGCACAGTCTTTTTGAAGCACTGTTCACACACTCTTCTTGCATCCAGTTCTTGCTATTGCACGTATTTGAAAAGACTAAATTAAACAGGATTCTTCAATACCAAATAAATAAGCACTTGTTAGTCCAAAACCAAACAATTTGTTAGTCCAAATGAAGACTGTCTTTCTAGATGCAGAGCTATGGATCAATGCTAAGTATTGTCAAAAGATGCATTTTTAAAAATCAGTCATAGCTGCAAGTGAAACAAACTGTTCATATTTCCATGGTAGATTAGTCATAATTACATATGCATTTAAACAAGTATATAAAATTCAGATATATGACAGAGGAGAAAAGATACCCTGAAATGGTCTATTATATCATCACTGATACTTCCTGTTGACTTTTACAGATTCTACTCAGTCCTCTATTTTAAAATTAACTACTGACCCAAAGTTAGTCACTGCAGAAATTTTGCAGGCCAGGCTTGTTTCCAGCTGTTTCTTAATTAGCTCTCTAGGTCAGATTTCCTATTATCAGAAAAAAAATAATTTTGTAATAAAACTGCAGTCTCACTACACTCAGAGTGGCATAAACGGGTTGTTGACTTAGGCTCGAAAAAAGTAATTTCTCAAGCTGTAACCCCACAATCTCTCCTTTTTGACTTGAAACACTGAAGAGTGAAAGTGAGAGAAAACACAATGGTTCCTCCTTTCCTAGCAAGTTGTCTAAATTATACAATTATTGAGAAGAGCTTGGTTCTCTTTAACCTCTTCAGCAAGTGGGAGTAAGGAATAAGGGAATTTTCTGCCTGAAGTTCTGTTAAAGTTCAAGAAAAGAATTCATAAGAAATCCTAATCTTTCCCTGGATCACAACTACTGTTAAAATTTTGTTTACATTTAACATGATTAATGTGCTGTCTTACCATATATGTCATTTTTTTAGAATAGACTGCATACAGTGATTGCTCACATGTGTTCACTTCTGTGTTATCCTGACTGTAAGAGTGGTGACAGAGAATTCATTCAAAATCACAGGTAGCAATAAATCATATTACATTTTACAATTAAATTTCTAAAATAGAACTCGTCTGCTTTGCTGAAAATGAAATCGCTGTTGCTGCTTATTTGTACTGAATAAAGAGAGAAAAGTTAAATGAAATGTAATGAAATGTCTGGAGAGTGGTAAGGAATAACCTTACTGTTTACGAAAAAGCTTTATTAGTGAAAAAATACTAAAGGTCTTAAGAGAGAGGAATAAATATTCTGTGTAACTAAAAATCTAAAGTATTTACATGTTATGCTCATATTGTTCTGTGCTAAATGTATTTTCTGCAAGTAAACATGCCAGTCCTTTGTTATAAAGTAACTGTCTTACCTCAACTATTCCTATTTTTCCATCAGGAGTCTTCCCATATTGGTCCACAAAAGCTTTCATTTCAGGTGTTAAATCCTACAAAGTTACAAAGACAGAATCATTAATTTAAGTACAGAAAAATGTATGTAAGCTTCTTGAACATTCTATTAGTTGCAAACTAATATACTACATTTAACGAAGTACTCACACTTATTGCAGCTAGATTCCTTAAGTTTGAAAGAAATTGAGTATTTCTTGTCGTGAATAATGTCATTGTGATAAATTTTACTTCATAATGAATTGCATTATAGTCAGTGTGAATGATTGGCATCTAAATACTTAGAACTCCTATTTTAGTTTACAGAATGAAAAAATTATAAAGACAGATTTGTTGGAAGATGTGTATAACAGCTTCTTTGTTTAAAAGGATGACAGTGAAGTTCAGAGGCAATTATTAGTCCATTTTCTCAGTTTTCATTTTTAAATTAGTGACTTGAAGGCAGTGTGAAATCTTTCAAAACAAGGAAAATTTCAGTATAATACATCTGAACACCAAAATAGCCTTTCCACATCTTTGAGTGAGTTTTTCCTGAACAATGGATGCTATTTTAGTCCTAAAAGAACTTATCACAATATCATATTTTTCACTGTTTAGTATTTGGTTATCATGGAAACAGAGTCAAAATGTCATTGCTGAAATGTAGAGAGGCAGATTTAAGAGGGAGAAAACTTTAAGCAGTACCTTAAATCTGACAGAGTAAAGCCAGCATAATTGTTCTTTGTCTGAATTGGTCCCTGCTATACATCTTTCTCTAAGGACTATCCTCGTTCTAGGCTACAACAGAGGTGCCAGCTTTGGGCTGAATATCTAAGTACTCAATTTCACTCTTCAACTTGACTTGCCTTCCTTTCATATGAGCTGCCATCAACCTTCAACACTGATTGAATTTTTAATTTTCATTGTATTTCTTATAGGTGTGAGCTAGGTAAACTATGCAGCAAGAGTCAGGGCAACAGTTATATTAAAACAATGAGCAATTCTATGGTTACAGATGAAGATACGGCAGACTTTGACAATTAAAAGTTTAGCTGCTTTAATAGATCTGATTATAAAGGACCTAAGTGATTCTCTCACTGGAGACACAGGGAATCTCAGCTGTACACTGTCCATTGTAGTTTGTCCCAAATTTCAACAACCAAAGCTAACTAAAATGTCAGTTCCTTGTAGCTGAAACAATCACGGCCTAGTATCCTATTTCTGTCAAAGTCATCCATGGAAGGTTAGTAATTTGCCATGGCTTTAATTAGAGATGTGGTTATTAATATAATGCACTTCAAAGTCACCTTTCATCTAATGATCCCAAAGTGGGGACAAGTTTGCTTAGCAGAGAGAATGGAGAATTTAGACACCTGGATTTTAATTAGTCCTGATTCAATATTTTACTAATCTTTCCAACAGCAGCTTTGCAGTGCCAGAGAGTGTCCAGCCACAGTCAATTACAAGTTAAACAAAACAGGATACTTGTACCCTACTTCATTATTCAGAAACGGTGGTGGATTTCTTGGTGTTCACTTCACCTGCTCTTGAGCTGCTTGATGAGTTATTCAAATTATGTGAGCCAAATAAATGTTTTAGGTCAAAAGATCTTGCCTAAATTTAACCAAGCCTAGTCCTAACCTTGGTACAGATGCAGTACTCAGTTTTTGAAATTAAGAAACTGGCCCTTCACACCTCAGTCAGAGGAGACACATATCCAACAAGATGAGCTG